CTGTTGTGACAAATTATTAAACCCAGCAGATAAGTAGAGAGTGCAGTGGAGGGTGGTGGGCGTGGCTGATGTAAGAAATGGTGAAAAAGTTGGAGAGTGGAGGTATGTCTAACCTCCACCTCATAGGAATCAGCTTTGTGCTTATCTTGATTCTCAACCCTCCTCCTATGTGAGGTCTGACACTAGTAGATTACATCCCCCAATGTCGCATCATAAAAATGGCTCTTCCAGCCTCACCATTGCTCTTCCTTGATTGCTTTTTTTTTTTAATTTTTATTTTTGCTGGAACCCATTGACCTAGCTCAGGGAGCCAGAGATGAGAGAGAGAAGGGGCTGTCTGAAGTGCTGGTAGGTATGTGTGTGAACTCTCAAGCCTAAGGCTGCTACCCATTGTGACCTAGCTTGGATGGCTAGGGAGGAGCTGACTGCAACCCGACTGAATGAAGAGAAAAATGTTTGACACTATGAGCTGGCTTGGACTTTGCTCTGGACTGGACTTTGCTTACGGATGCAGATGCTCCAAGTTCCAACTGGAACAGAAGATTCTTCAAGACCAAGGAACACGCTTGGCCCCTCAGAGTGATGGTTTGATAGGGATGGGCAATTTCAACACTGGCTGTCTAAAATGGGGGGAGATAAAGGTGTGAAGTGGTTGGCTTACACACTTTTGTGAGTGTGCTTACATTAAATGAGGGGGACAAGGGAGGATTCCCAGTGAATAGATTTCTCTTTTCCTGATGGGCCGGGAGGGTGGGGGGAGAGAGGATGAAGGGAGGTGCTAATAGGATTATATGATTCAGTTGTGAGTGTTGATTGTTAACAGGGTTAATTGCGATTGTAAAAGCTGTAATTGCAGAAGGTGTAAGTGTGAGTGGACAAAGGGGGAGGCACTGCTGGGGGCATAAGTACAGTGGCTAAACCTAAAGTGCCTTAAAGGTTTTGCTGTGCTGATAACTCATGAGGCTCAGATCAAGGGAATAATCTTCTCTCAGTTAAATTTTACCAGAGGCCAGAGAAGGAGAAGATGAGATGAACTATTGGAGAACCTGACCAAATCAGATGGACACCTGCAGCAGACCTCCATAGGTGGTACCTGAGTAACCTCAGCCTTAGGACTCTTTGCCATACCACTAATGACTGTTCTGGACTGGTAAAATTATTAGGAGGGGGAAGTTATCCTCCAAGTATCAAAGAATCACAGCTAGAAAAGCCAGGGAGTGGCCTCCAGTGCGACGGACCACTTTGTGTGGCATTTCTCACCATGGTCTTGTGCAAATAAGGTAATTGAGGCCCACCAAGGGAACTGATCAGTTTTGCCATCCTTCTAGGCTTAAAAGAAAGACAATTCTAGAGCAGACAGAGGATCTCACTACCAAGGAAGAAGGGGCAAGAGTAGAGTGAGTCCTTTGGACCTGGGATCCCTGTACTGAGAAGCTCCTGGAACAGAGAGAGAGAGAGAGAGAGAGAGAGAGAGCTGCAACACTGAAGTCAGCGAGAAGGTGGCAGAGAAGTGTCGGCTGCAGAGACCGGCAGCAGGAGACGGTGTGGTGGGCTTCCTGGCCCATGGAGCGAGAAAGCTGAGTGCCTTTGGGCAGGAGGCTTGCTGGAAGAGTAGGGTGCTTCTGGGCACTTGCTGAAGCTAGGTTTGCTGACCCACTAGCTGGAGCTGAGTGCTTTCATGCCAAGGCTTACTGGCAGAGTAGTGTGCCTCTCAGCACTTGTTGGCAGAGCTAAAAGGGCTTTGTAACACTAGCCCAAGCACGGCAGAAGCCGAGAGCCAGAGACAGAGGCATGCTTGCAAGCACGGCTGGGAAGAGGCTGTCCTAATGGAAGAACTGTATCCTTGAGTGTTCCTGAACCTAAATTGTAACCTGTTACTTCCCTAATAAACCCCATAACTGTGAGTATTGTCTGTGAGTTCTGTGTGGTCATTGCAATGAATTATCAAACCCAGCAGAGGCATAGAGAGGGCCGTGGGAGGGACAATTCGTGTCAGAATTAATAAAGATGGTGGAGAGAGGAGGCATGTCTGAACTCCAACTTATAGGAATCAGCCTCGGGCTGTTGATCTTGATTCTCCTTCCCCCTTGTGAATATAGAGGAGGTCAGACGCCGCCCCCACGCCATTTTTACACTAATGATGTTGAGCATCTTATCATGTGCTTATTGGCTATTTGTATATCTTTGGAGAAATGTCTATTTGAGTCCTTTGCCCATTTTCAATTGGGTTGTTGTCTTTTTGTTGTTGAGTTGTAGGACTTCCTTATATATTCTGAATATTAGACCCTTGTCAGATATATAAAGATTTTCACTGGCTAACTTTTTTCAGAAGTAGACCATCAGGTCCTTCTTCCTAGGCTGTCTTAGTCTGGAATCTCTGCTGAAACCTGTCTGCAGGGGTGACCCTGCTGGTATTTGAATACTGGTGGCATAGCTTCCAGCATCACAGCAACACGCAAGACCCCACAGTACAACAAACTGACAGTCTCACATGCTTTGGACATGTTATCAGGAGGGACCAGTCTCTGGAGAAGGACATCATGCTTAGCAGAGGGTCAGCAAAAAAGAGGAAGATCCTCAACGAGATGGACTGACATAGTGGTTGCAACAATGGGCTCAATCATAACAATGATTGTGAGGATGGTGCAGGACGGGGCAGTGTTTCGTTCTGTTGTACATAGGGTCGCTATGAGTCGGAACTGACTCGAGGGCACCTAACAACAACATCAGATATATGGTTCTCAAACATTTTCTCCCATTCTGTGGGTTGTCACTCTCTTGATAGTGTCTTTTGATGCACAAAAGCTTTTAATTTTTGATGAAGTCCAATGTATCTATTTTGTCTTTGCTGTTCATGCTTTTGGTGTCATATCTAAGAATCCATTGCCAAAAACAACTGTGATGAAGATTTGCCCCTATGTTTTCTTCTAAGAGTTTTAGCTCTTAAATTTAGGTATTTGATACATTTTGAGATAACTTTTGTATAGAATGTGGGACAAAGAACTAAGTTGGCCTTTTGTATCTGGTTTCTGAAAATAGCACGAGCTAATTAAGGTGCTCTCTGTCTAAAATAGCCAGGCAAGTAGGGGCTACACAAGCCCCACACCTGGGGAATTCATGTCAGAAGGTGAGGCGGCCATGATGCAATTATGCATATTCATTGATTGGATTGCTCACAACCAAGCATTAAGGCCCCATTCGTGCATACTTGTTGAGGTCCCAAAAACTAGGGAGCCCTGGACCTTGGAGGTCTCTTTTTTGAGGCCTCATGGATTGGTAAGGAGATCTGGTTGTACAGTGTTAACTACCTGGCTGTTAACTGAAAGTTCAGCAGTTTGAACCCACCAGCAGCTCCGTGGGAGAAAGATGTGGCAGTCTGCTTCTGTAAAGTTTGCAGCCTTAAAAACCCCATGAGGCAGTTCTACTCTGTCCTAGAGGGTTGCTATTAAGTCAGCTTCGATTCTACGGGCAACGGTTTGGGAATTTTTTTTTTTTTCATGGATTGGTGAGAACATCCATGCAGGGGAGAGGGTGCAGCACTCCCTGGGAGCAATGGAGGCCTCAGGCCAGGACCTCTTCCAGACCTTGTCCGTTGCATGTCTTGGCTTGTATCCTTTCTGGTTATAATAAATGGGTAACTGTAAGTACAGCTAATAGTCTCTGTTAGTTCTGTGACCCATTCCAGCGAATTATCGAACCCACCATGGGTAGAGAGGCTGGTGTTTGCCTATTTGGCAGGGACTGGAAGGAGAGAGTCCCAACTTGTGGAAACCCAAACTGGTGGTTAGGGTTAGACAAAGAAAGTGCCACGTGGGTGGCTGCTGTCAGAATGATGAACTACAAAAGCAGTGACATAAGTTATCTTCACAGTTTGGAGATTAGCCTTATGTCGGCTATTATTCACATATGCAGTGCAAAGTAAGGGTCTAATTCATTCTATTACATGTGGACATCTAGTTTCCCCAGCACCATTTGTTGAAAAGATTCTGCTTTATCTATTGAATGGTCTTGGCATCCTTGTTGTAAATCAATTGACCATATATGTGAAGGTTCATCTAAGCTCTCTATTCCGTTGGTCTATAGTCTAACCTTATGCCAGTACCACATTTTTTCATTACTATAGCTTTGTAATAAGTTTTAAAATTGGGAAGTGTGAATTTTAGCATGGTTTTTCTATTTCTGCATAAAAAGCTGCTGGGAATTTGACAGCGATTGCGTTGAATCGGTTTGGGCAGCACTGTCAGTGATTGCTGCCTCTCTCTCTGACCAGAGCAATGCGGTTGAACAGGATTACCAGAGGGGTAACTTAGTGCCCTGGTTCTCACTCCTTCATCCACCACACTAAGCATCTCTACTTTGTTCTGTAGGCAAGCCTACAATCAGACCTAACCAGAATTAGGGACAGTACATTTCCTACCTTCCATCTTTGTACTAAAGACACGCATGCCACTCTGGCCTCAGCTTCAATATATTGTGTCCATTCTTCCAAGTCAAGTTAGGAACTAAAACTAAGACCATTTTTGAGGGAGGCAGGGACCTTCAAGAGACAGCTACAGTTCAGAGAGGTGTGCCTGTTGCCCACGGTTACGGTTTTAGAACTCTGGCCCCCTGGGTCCCACACCAGTTTGTTAACTCGTCTTCTTTCTCCGCTCACCCTGCTGCCAGAGGGACGTGCTGTCCCCTCGGGCACAAAGTCCTGTGACCCTGCGAATATACCGCCAAGACCCGTCCCCGCCCTCCTGCGGCCTCAGGTAGATGGAGAAACACTCAGCCAATCCAGGGGGGCTCTGAGGCAAAGAAGGCAGGACGAGGAGGAAAAGTTTAGGACAGGAGCACTAACCAATCGGACGCCTAGCCTCCTGAGCGATGGCCGCGAACACCCACTTGGAGACTCTGGTCAGCGAGGGGGCGGGTTAGTAGACGGTGGACCAATCCGTGACGGGGGAAGGCAAGTTTGAGCCAATTGAAACTGAGGAGATGGGAGGGGGCGGAGTTCGCACGGTGCGTGCGTGGTGGTGGGCGACGGATCAGCTTTCTCTGCTAGTTCCCTCCTTAGCACTCCTTAGCCCCTGGAATGCGACAGGGAGAGGCTCAGGGAGTTCAACAGGTTGGGCGTAGAGGCATCCCCGGAAGAGGCGTGGGAGCGAAAGAGGCTCCAAGTTGGAGAAGCCGTTGGAACCTACCGGGTGGGCAACGAGGAAGCGGAGGCTGGTCAGGGGAGGAACTTCCGGGGCGGGGCTTTTTGGACGGGGGCGGGGCGTGCTACTAAGGTTAGGCTGGGGGCGGAGCTAATAGGAGACCACTGGGTGTGACCTAGGAGAAAGAAGGGTAGTAACTTAAGCGACCGTCTTGGGGACAGGAAGATGTTGCCAGAGGCCTTGAGGTGGCATGTGATAGTTAAGAGCTGACGTTTAAGGTTGCCGGGGGGGTTGCCTGGTCTAACCCACTATCCTCTCTTCCCAGGTGGGGACCTTTCTAGGGCCTCTTCCCTTCGCGGGATGCTATGGAGTTCCCAGAGCACAGTCAACAGCTGCTCCAGAGCCTCCGGGAGCAGCGTTCCCAGGGTTTCCTTTGTGACTGCACTGTGATGGTGGGTAGCACCCAGTTCTTGGCCCATCGGGCCGTACTGGCCTCCTGCAGCCCCTTCTTCCAGCTTTTCTACAAGGAGCGGGAACTGGAAAAGAGGGACCTGGTGTGCATTCACAATGAGATTGTCACGGCACCAGCCTTTGGGCTCCTTCTGGACTTTATGTATGCAGGCCAGCTGGCTCTGTGGGGGGATACCCCTGTGGAGGATGTGCTGGCAGCTGCCAGCTACTTGCACATGAATGACATTGTCAAGGTGTGTAAGTGGCGCCTGCAGGCCCGAGCCCTGGCAGAGGCAGACAGTACCAAGAAGGAGGAGGAGACCAGCTCACAACCCCCTAGTTTCGAGTTTTTGTCCAGCACCTCCCACGGCCTCCAGCCTTCGTTGGCATCTGCTGAGACATCGGGTAACTGGGGAAAAGGGGACTGGAAAGACCCTGCTGCTCCCTCACCTACTGTCCGTCCTCCAGATGAGCCACCAGTGTCCGGTGGGGCTGACACTACACAGCCTGGCATGGAAGTTGACTCACCACAACTCCGGGCACCTCCCCCGCCAGTGGCTGATGTCACTCTTGCCAGCCCCAGTAGCTCCACAGAGATCATTCCTGCCAACTACTTCTCTTCTGGCCTCTCAACAGTTTCAGCAGAGCCCTTGGCTCCCCTTGATGTGGGTCCTGAGAGTCTTAGGGTGGTGGAACCCAGGGGTACTGGAGGACCACTGCAAGGCTTCTATCCCCCCGCTTCAGCTCCAGCCCCAGTCCCAGCCCCAGATCCATCCCAGCCTCCAGGCCCAGCTGAAGCTGAGTTGGTCCAGGTGAAAGTAGAAGCTATTGTGATTTCTGATGAGGAGCCAGATGTGTCAGATGAGCAGCCTCGAGGTCCTGGGGAACTGTTCCCACCAGGAGGAGCAATGTTTGGAGGACGGCCTCCCCAGCCAGAGGCTTTTGAGGAGTCAGGGGCAGCAGGACTGGAGGAGGTGGGGCCAAGTGACCAGTTCCTGCCCCCAGACCTTCACCTGCCCTACCATCTGCTGCCAGGTCCAGGGCAGTATCATCGGGGGCTGGTGATCTCGCCTTTGCCTGCCCCCCAAGCCCTGCATGAGCCACTTTACTTGCCTTCCAAGTATGAAGCAGCCCCAGGAAGCTTTGGCGTTTTTACGGAGGATGTTCCCACTTGCAAGACGTGTGGTAAGACCTTCTCATGCTCTTACACGCTGCGGCGACATGCCACAGTGCACACACGTGAGCGACCCTACGAGTGCCGCTACTGCCTGCGCAGGTACACGCAGTCAGGGGACCTCTACCGCCACATCCGCAAGGCCCACAACGAGGACCTGGCCAAGTGCAGCAAACCGGATCCAGAGGCTGGCCCCCTTCTTGGGGGGCAGCCCCTCCCCAACTCCCCAACAGCAGACAGACAGAGTAGTGGTGGTGGAGGGCCACCCAAAGATTTTGTACTTGGCCCCAAAAACTAACATCTGGGGAATCATGAGCTGATGCTGGGCCTGCTCTGGCCAATGTTTGAGGACAGCACAGACGGTTGGGGGCTCTCCTGCTGGGGGGACAGGATGGAGGTCCCTACGTTTTCTCTTTCTCTTTGCCCAGCCAGAGAACAGGACTTTATGGGGTAGAGCTTTTCTCTGCAGGGGCACTGGGAAGTCTTCTGAGGTGTATCCACATCTCCACATTCTGGACCATAAAGCTAACAGTGAAAATGGCTTTTTGAACTGGTGTTGGCTGGTTTCTTCCACAAGCCTGCATGCCTCCTGATTTCCTTCATTCCTCTCCTGCAGATCTTTCAGGAAGCTGACTTCTGTGCTTGGGGTGGAGATGGGGGTCAGGTTGCTTATGAGGAAAAAAGGGAGACAAGCAGAGGACAGTGAAGACTTAGGAAAAACACACAAACTAGGGAATCTTACACAATTCTGGTTTATTATCATAGTTAGTGTTTGTTGAGCTCCTTTGCTGGGCTGTGTTGGATATTTCATATACATTTCATTTACTCCTCAACAACTTTATGAGGTATTGCCCTACCCCCTACTTTTATTAAAAGACAAGGAAACTTGAGACTCATAAAAAGGAAAATTAACTTGTTTGTGGTCACTTAGAAGCAAGTCAGGATTTGAACCCTGGTTTGTGACTCAAACACCATGCATGCTATGCTGGTTTAAAACTTTGTTGACATTAGTTCACAGAGAACTGCAGGTTGTTCTCTTTTTTGTCCTTTTAGAGTGTTTGGCTTTGTTCTCTTTATCTGTTACCTGTGCTTTCCACAGAGAAAGACCTTTGATTGACTCTTCCAACAACAGATACTGTATTGATGACTTGAAATTTTTGCCTGTATGTTGGAGATGTGAAATGAGGTCTTTGAGGATGAGAAACTGAAAGGCAGAAAACACCCCTGGTGGTATATCTCTGGGAGGAGGTTGAGGGCCTGTGGTGGTAGGGAAATGATGGGCGCTACGGAAGAGTAAAGGAGCCCTGGTGGTACAGTGGTTAAGCACTCGGCTGCTAACTGAAAGGTCTGTAGTTCAAACCCACCAGCTGCCTCGTGGGAGAAAAGACCTGGTGATCTGCTCCCATAGAGATTGACAGCCTAGGAAACCCTGTGGAGCAGTTCTATTCTGTCCTATAGGGCGGCTGTGAGTCAGAATCAACCTGAAGACACACGATAACAACATGGAAGAGTAGAGGAGTCCCTCGGTGGTGCAAATGGTTAATGTGCTCAGCTGCTAACTAAAAGATTGGAGGTTCGAGTACACCCAGAGGTACTTCAGAAGAAAGGCCTGGTGATCTACTCCTGAAAAATCAGCCATTGAAAACTATGTGGAGCCCAGTACTACTCTGACGCACATGGGGTCAATCATGAGTTGGAGTCAACTCAATGGTAACTGGTTAGGAAGAGTAAGGTACAAAATCCCAGATGGATGGATCTTATAGTTCATCTAGTTCAACTCCCTCATTTTAAAAGTGTGATGGCCAGCAGCCTAGAGAGGTTATTGCTTATCTAAGCTCACACAGATGGTTACTGACAGTGGACATAGCTGTGACATGGGAGTTTGGGATGCTGATGTAGGATGGGAAAGAAAAGAGCTCCAGGAATATAAGAGAAGGGTCTGGCTCCAAGCCTGTGGTGAAGAGTGGTGCTCTAGGATCGAGTAGAGGGCTTCCTCCAAGCCCTTCTCTCCTTGGCACATAAGGAACTGAGTGCAAATAAGGCAGAAAGGAAAACAGAGGAAGGTGAAAATACAGGTAAATTTTCAGAATCCTTTTTCTTTTTTTGGATCTGTGTGCTATATTTGGAGCCGTGATGACCCAGTGGTTAGGAGTTCAGGCTGCTAACCAAAAGGTCAGCAGTTCGAATCCACCAGCTGCGTCCTGGAAATTATTGGGCAGTTCTGCTCTGTCCTGTAGGGTCACTATGAGTCAGAATTGACTCGACAGCAATAGGTTGGTTGGTTGGTTGATATGCTGTATTCAGTATTGTGAACTCTTAATAGCAAGCTACTATTTTTAAGTTACAGGAAGGAGGCAGCTGAGCAGCGAAGATTGGCCAAAGAAGACTCCTTAGCTGGGACGTTATAGAAAGCAAAAGATGACTCTAAACATGTTCACTGTTGAAAGCATGAATTCTATGCCTTTCACTTTCCATGTGTCAGAATAACTTTCTGACTTATCTTTCAGATGGCTTCTGGTTTTATGTATGCAAATATATTGCCTTAAATCCTTGGTGAAACAAGGCAAGATAGAAATAAATACAGTAAGAGCTATTCTAGCTAAGTAGAACACCTCTTCCAAACTCTTCCCTGGAGTAAAGATCAAATCAAAATGCCCATAGGCATCAGTTGCTTTCAAAAGGGTGAATTTTTTGATATGTGAATTATAACTCAAAAAAAAAAAAAAAGAATTGGTTGCCTTAGAACATCAGTTCCTAAAAGCAAGGCATAGTTAAGTATCTGTGTATGTAGCATATATAATTTCTCTGCAGCATCTACACAGTGTGGGGAACACAGTAACCAGTTATTGGTTAGGTCATGGCCACATGCAATACTTACCTAAAGGGGCACTGTTTCTTGGTGAGATTCCTCAGAAAAGCAAGCATTCGCTTTCAGATCCCAGCATGAGCTGCCCTCTTTGTTGGAAGTGGTACTCAGGAATTTACATGATTATTAAGGCAGTAATTAAATAATCAGCACAATTAAGGACACAGGGACCTCAGTTTCTCTCTCTGCTGAAAGATAGAACAGTTTATGCCAGTTAGTAGAGGTGTGATCAATAGTTTCCACTGCTCCTGCTGGTCCCATCTGTGGTTCCTGAAGTCAGGAACCACAGGCTTTTAAGGGTCCGCTAATCTAACCTCCAGTCAGCAATGGACTCTCCTTTTGCCAATGGTTATCAAACTTCTGCTTGAAAAAGAAATCGGTACCCCGAAAAGAAACCTATTTCCTTGTTGAACAGCCCTAATTGTTAAATGGGGTCGCCGTGGGTTGGAATCAACTCCATGGCAACTGGATTTTTATACTGACACCAAATCTGCCTTCATTTATGGGGAGATGGGCCAGGCCCCAGCCTCGTAAGAGTTTCACTCTGAAAATTTGCTTGTTAGCTATAACCTGACTTAGTTTTCAGACAACCACCCTTTCTTCTCCAGCTTGAGAGATTTCTAGTTTAGAGTTTTGTTTCTTCTCTTAATTGGCTATTGGGTAAGCGTATGCCTTCACTTGGTGTCTAATGCTTCTTCATTGCCAGACACTTCAGCACTTCCCATTGGATTTTGATTTCAACTTTCTTCAAAGCCAGTGTTTCCAAAGATGGTTTACTTGGACATATACTAACACATTTTTATTGTGAAATATATTTTTATGTTTTTTGGTTTGGCAAGTGACAAAGTTCTCTAAAGTTCCCCTCACCATCTCATCAGTAAGCAATTTCAGTATGCATCTCTAAAAGGACTTAAAAAAAAAGACCAATTACCATCATCATACCCAACAAAATTGACCATAATTCTTATTCATACTTCCCTGATGGTCTCATAAAGTTTTGCTTTTTCAAATCAGAATCTGAACTAGAGTCATACATTTATTTTGTTCGTGTCTCTTAAGCCTCTTTTAGCCTATAGATTTCCCCTCCTTTTTTTTCCTTGCAATTTATTGGTTGGAAAAAACTGAGTTGTCTAATGGTTTCCCAGTCTGGATTTCACTAATGGCATCCCCAAGGCATCATTAAACATGTTCCTTTGTCCAAAGTTTCTTTTAAAAAAATCTGTATCTTTTAAATAAAATATTGACTAAATAGTAGTGCAGGTAGTATGTGGTTTTGGCAGAACTGTGAAGGTGGGTGTATGAGTTTGGGAAACACTGTTCTCAGCTGTCCCTTACGTGCCAAAGTATGATCCTTCACATCCATCTCAAATCCTTTCTCTTCATTCGAGACCTTCAGATTCTGTGGAAAACATTAAGGATTGGTAAGGCATGCAGATTCCTCCTCCACAAACTTCCACATAGAGATTTCCATCCCTGCGGCTGATCCTTCAGGTTGTGGCTTTGCCACATCTCCTCCAGACCGCATCAGAATGCCTGCCTTTGTCCACTTTCCTCTTCACTAACATATGCATTACGAGCTGGGCTTAGAAATCAAAACTGAAATGTAAGCCTGACCACTTGGCTCTCTTAGCAGTGCTAATAAAAGGATTAGTCTAATACATTTCTAAAATAAGTTTTTAAATATCAATTTTATTTTTTCTCCGGTGATGCATAAGATGATAGTTTACTGTAACATCAAGTCTATATATAAAACAAAAAGAAAATAAAGCAAAACTAGCCCAAAGCAAACAAAATATGCAACCATGATATTTTGTTCACAAACCTAGGTGTAAAAGAAACAAGAAGCTTGGAAAAGGAATACAGTAATTAGTTCTGTCCTTGGATTGCATAAGATTATTTGGAAGAGAGACTTTTTGTATAAGCTGATGGTTGTGTTCTTTAAGGGTGTAGGGAGGTACAAAGAGGGGTCTAGCTTATTGGGAGAGGGTGTTACTGGTAAAGTGAGAATTCATGTACATTTGGCAAGAGTAAGGTTGGTTTGTTTTTTTCCCCTCTATAATCTGTTCTGTGCTTATATGATGGCTAATAACACATGCTTACTACCTCCGCTCATAAAGGTAGAGGTGGTGCTATATGGTCTCACCTACTGTGGTCGTGTTGTTAGGTGCCGTTGAGTTGATTCCGACTCATAGTGACCCTATGTACAACAGAACGAAACACTGCCATGTTTGAGCCCATTGCTGCAGCCAACTGTGTCAGTCCATCTCGTTGAGGGTCTTCCTTTTTTTTAGTGACTATTTTACCAAGCATGATGTCCTTCTCCAGGGACTGATCCCTCCTGATAACATGTCCAAAGTATGTGAGATGATGTCTTGCCATCCTTGCTTCTAAGGAGCATTCTGGCTGTACTTCTTCTAAGACAGATTTGTTTGTTTTTCTGGCAGTCCATGGTATATTCGCCAACACCATAATTGAAAGGCATCGATTCTTCGGTCTTCCTCATAGTCCAGCTTTCACATGCATATGAGGCAATTGAAAACAACATAGCTTGGGTCAGGTGCACCTTAGTCCTTAAAGTGACATCTTTGCTTTTTAACGCTTTAAAGAGATCTTTTGCAGCAGATTTGCCCAATGCAATGTGTCATTTGATTTCTTGACTGCTGCTTCCATGGACGTTGATTGTGGATCCAAGTAAAATGAAATCCTTGACACCACAGTATGACAAACTGACATACACATAGTGGCCTACTGCATAGTACCCACACATTGTGGACATAATCCAGAGTAAACAGAATGACAGTGGAGCTCCAGTTGATGGAGACTTGTACTGAGCCATGACTGCACCAGACCTGCAACCTCGCCCAACATGGCATCCAGAGTTCCATTTGTGCTTAAAAGGCACTGAGGAAGGAAAGCCCTTCCTCATCGTTTCCCTCCTCTGTAAGGACCTGCAATCTTACAAAATATGGAGTGATAGGTAAAAAATAGATATATGATTCTATCCTGCTCTATGATGGCATTATTTCTGAAGACTTGGTGATCTGTTTTTCCCATATTTTTTAGAGAAATGAGCACCTATTAAGATATGCACCGATTAAAAATTTAAATGTTTACTTGGGTGGTGTTTGGCATGGTCTTAAATAATTTATAAGGATCAGCACAAAGCTGGTTCCTATGAGGCAGAGGTTAAAGATGTCCCCAAAGTCTAACTTCTCCAAATTGCTGTACCACTCCATCAACTAGTTCTCCCGTTTGGTGCAAAGAGCAGATATCCCTGTGGCTCAAGCCTCTTTTCTTACATCTTCAGGACTTGTGCCTTCTGCTGTCCTTATCACGGCCAAGAAATGTCCCAGTTGAGGGGCCTTTAGCCTACCATCCCTTTCTGACCTCTTCATCTTTGATAAAGCACTGACATCCCTTTCCTAATAAATAGACCCTCTGAGTTCTGTATGCACTTGACTCCTTCCTGGATGGTTGGCAAGGACAAAACGGAGGCAGAGGAAGGAGCTAAAGGGAAGGCATCTGGAGTAGACCCTTCTGCACATCTTTCATTTCCAACAAAGAGACTTGTTTTTATTTTCTGGGTCTGATTAGCTAGTTGCTGGGGAGGCTGAGGTGCTGGAGCATAGAGGGTACATTGGATGGTATCTTTTGTTACGAGTGAGAGGCAGTGCATAAGCTTGAAATCCTGATTCTGTCACTAAATAATTTATAAGGATCAGCACAAAGCTGGTTCCTGTGAGGTGGAGGTTAAAGATGTCCCAAATGTCCCACTTTTCCAAAGTGCTGTACCACTCCATCATCTCTAACATCAACTACTCCTCCTCCTCCTCAGTACTCTCCCTCCCATCTTTGGGTTCCGTAATTCGCTGCAACGTCTCACAGAACTCACTCACCACATCAAGGGAACGGCTCATGCAGTTATGGAAGCTGGCAAGTCCCAAATCTGTGGGTCAGGCAAAGGCTTCTCTCAGCCCAAGTGGCTGCAGGGGCTGACAAACCCAAACCAGCAGGTCAGACCACAAGCTGCTGGCTCACAAGCCTGTGGAAGCTTGTGAATCAGGTCAGATGATAGGCTGCCAGCCCACGGGGCTGTGGAAGCCGGCGAATCCCAGAATCAGCAGGTCAGACAGCAGGCCTCTGGCTCAAGTCCCATGAACCGTGGTCAGATGGTAAGAAATGGATGCAGGATCCGGATGCAGAGTTTGAGAGCCCCGCCAGGGCACTCACATATATATGCTGGATGCAGGCCACACCCAAGGGAAGGGTATAATTGGAGTAAGGGTGGGACTTGAGTCACGCCCTCCTACAAGGCTATGACTCAAGAAAAACCACATGCCAATCCTGCCTCATTAACATGTAAAGGTTAGGATTTACAACACATAAAATGGAGGACAGCCATACAATATTGGGAATCATGGCCTAGCCCAGCTGACACAACCCCAACCATCACAGGTTCCATATACCTTATTTGCACAGTCCCACTCAATCATTGTGTGTGAGTCACAAAGACCATGGCTAGAAGGGCCATATTAAGTAATTCATTACAACGCTGGTCTGAAGGGTTTATTAAATACTTAGATGCTTGACTCCTGAGGTTTTAAGATAGTATAGTTTAATGGAAAAATAAATAAGTATATATTTATGATCTGAGAACGAGCAATAGCAAAAACTAGTAATTACCAAGAGAAACAACAGGGAACAGGTATTTTTCTAGGGGAAAAAGAATCTCAATGTGTGTGGATATTAAGGAGAATAAGGAATTAATTTAACCAACAATGGTTAAATTATATTCACGGATTTTAATACATCTGGGCCCAATTTATAAATTTTTGGTTTCACAAAAAAATGTATTTCTCCCAGTTTGTGGCTTGTGTAACTCTGGCTTTAGGCATCTGAGGAAACGAAGCAAGAAATGGCTTTCTGCCTGTCCTTACTATTCCATCCTCTGCTACGCTTCTCCTCTGTACGTACCCTTAACAACATCTATCAATAAAATCTAGGCCACGGGTATGACTAATTCTGTCCATAGCTGATGAACATTTTCTGATAAACGTTCTGGTAAAAACATTCACAAAGGTAACGTTCAGTGAAAACGTTTCCCAAGGTAAAACCCCCAAGAATAACATGTATTGAAAGCTATACAAATACACAGATGGAGAGACAAAAAAAATGACACGGACCGTGTAAATAGTAAAAAGTTCGTGCAGAACTGGAAACAGAACAGAAATCCATGTGGGTCAGAGGTATGGGGTTAGCTTCTCTTGCTGAGGCTCAGGTTTCCCCTTGATGGATCTTTAATGGTCCATCCAAGTTCAAGTGGAGGAGCATCTTTCTTCTTCGTTAGCCAAACATGCCCAGGTAGAGCTGCTTCTCTTTCCGATGATAGCTCTTGAGTTCTGACTGTGTCATCTGGAGGTACCGCTGGACGTTGGCATCTTGAAAGAGGATGGAGAAGAAATTAGAGACAGACCATAATTGCATCTTGAGGAAGGAAAGGATTGTTATCACACTCCCATTTTTTCCTGTTTCTCTAAGATTTCAATATATCATAACTATTCTCTGCAGCCCGGGTGGCGCAGTGGTTAAGAGCCTGGCTGCTAACCAAAAGGTCAGCAATTCGAATCCACCAGCCACTCCTTGGAAACTGTGTGGGGCAGTTCTACCCTGTCCTATAGGGTCACTATGAGTTGGAATCGACTCAATGTCAGTGGGTCTGTGCAGCAGTAAATCTCATTAATTAACACCACTGAATTTTTAAAATCTTTCGACAAGAGTTAGGCTGGTTGCTATTTTATAATGAAAGGAATATTTGAAGAAAAAGCTATTATAGTAGAGTCTCTAAAGATACTATCCATGTGGATAGTATCCATCTAAGTATTTGAAGGTAATAAACATGAATGAATAATTCATGTTTTATATTTTTATTAATTAATAGTGGCTTTCTCCATTCATTTAAATTAGTGAGATTTTACTGCACTGCTTGTGTGTTTGGGGTCCGTCTGCTTCTAGCATTTAGTAGCTGCTCTAAGCTAGAATGCAAAGAGGGAGACAATTTTTAGTGTTGAGTCAAGCAACGCAGAAATGAGTCTGTCAACTGCTTTACAATATCTTTTTGCCTTGGAAACAAAGTACTAAGTCTCAAATTCTTTCTCAGTAAGCCTGCCTTTTTCTACGTCATACCTGGGGTTAGCTGAGCTAAAGGATAAACAGGTGAAGCAAAAGCCAGACCCCAGCTAGAAAGCTAGCAGAATGAGGATTATCAAGTTTATTCACTGGGACCCTATGGTGCAATGGATCACTTTTATATGGTCTTTGTTGCTGCGGTCTTGTAACTCCCACCAAATGTTGGGTGGGACTATGCAAATAAGGTGCTTGTGGCCCACCAAGGGGATCGGACAGCTTGCTAATAATGCAAATAAGGTACATGGCATCCTTGTGAGGGTGGGACCCTAACGAGGGGATTGATCAGTTTTGTCATCCCATCAGGCTTAAAATAAAGGCAAGCCCAGATTGGGGGCAGTGGGGGGGTGGGGGCAGACCTCACTACCACAAAGAAAGGAGAGCTAGGACTGAAGCACATCCTTTGGACCTGGGATCCCTGCACTGAGAACCTCCTAGACCCAGGAGACAAATAGACAGAGCTGTAACACCAAAGAACGTAAAAAGCAGTGGCAGAGAAATGGTGGCAGCAGAGCCAGGAAATGGTGCAGTGGGCTTCCTGGCCTACAGAGCGAGAAAGCTGAGCGCCTTTGGGCAAGAGGCTTGCTGGTGGAGTGGGATGCCTCTGGGCACTCGTCAGCAGAGCTAGGCTTGCTGACCCATGGAGCTAGAGAGCTGAGCGCCTTTGGGCCGAGGCTTACTGGTGGAGTGGGGTACCTCTGGCTACTTATTTGTGGAGCTAAAGAACTTTATAACACTTTCCTGAGCAGGGAAGATGCTGGGCCAGCCCAAGGAGCTAAGGCAGGGGTTGGTGAGGCCGAGAGGCCGAGAGCCAGGGAGAGGCCTGCCTGTGAGTGCCGCCTAGAAGCTGTTCTGACCGAAGAACTGTATCCTGAGTCGTTCCTGATCCTGAATTGTAACCTGTTACTTCCCTAATAAACCCCATAATCATGAGTATTGTCTATGAGTTCTGTGTGGCCACTGCAACAAATTACTGAACCCAGCAGAGAAGTAGAGTGCTGTGGGAGGAACAGTTGGTGTCTGAATTGATAAAAAGGTTGCAGAGAGGAGGTCTGTCTGACCTCTGCCTCACAGGAATCAGCCTTGGGCTGTTGACACTGATAATGATTCTCCTCCCGCCTTGTGAAGTTAGACAAGGAGATCTGATATCCCCACACCATTCTTATAGGCCCAGATCCTATTCCAGTCACCTTCCTAAAAGCTAGGAACTGAACCCTGAAAAACAGCCCTTTAACATCCGTTTCAGTAAGTGAGAGAAATTATATATATATATATATACACACACACATAAATAAACCAAAAACCCAACCAGCTGCCGTCAAGTTGACACCGACTCATGGCGACCCCATATGTGCCAGAGCAGAACTGTGCTCCACAGGATTTTCAGTGGCTGATTTTTCAGTAGATCAACCAGACCTTTTTTTCAAGGTTCCTCTGGGTGAACGCAAACCTCCAACCTTTTGGTTAGCAGCTGACCATGTTAACTGTTTGTACCACCCAGGGACTCCATATATATGTATATATACATATATATATATATACATAAACATATATACATATATATATACACACACACACACGCACACAGACATATATATCCATGTGTGTATAAACACACACATTAAGCATAAACATTTCTGGAGAACAGATACACTGTACCTCTTTTTATCCTTTTTGAATTTTGAACGCTGTGAACCTACTACCTGTTCAAAAAATTCAACACATTGAAAAAAGTAAAATAAAATAAAACCCTTTTTTCCACAGATACACCTTAGCAGCACAATTTTATGTGTCCCCACCATTTCAATCCCCCTTCCTCTCACCTTTTGGCTGCCTATTGACGGCAGCCAGGAGGTAGTGCCGAGCTCGGTCATAGTCCTGCAGATGGAAAAAGGCCACTCCGGCCCGGTACAATGCCTTGGCATTATCAGGCTGTCGTTCCAGAACTTTCTGACTGTATTCCTTTACTCGCTCATAGTTTACTGGCTCCATCTGAAGAAGGCAGGCTAATGGGGCCAAATGAAAGGAGAAAAGGAGGAGGGCCTTATTATAGTAAATTCCACTGACCAGCTGAATGCAGGACCAAACATTGTATGATACCAATACCATTCACTCATTCAACAAATATTTAAGTGTCTACCACATGCCAGACACTCTTCCAAGCACTGGGGATACAGCACTGAATAAAAAGTTTTTCATACCTTACAATCTACTTCAATATCTACTGAATGCCTACTAGGTGCCTAGTGTTGGGTTAGGCCCAGCTGTGAAACTGATAAGAACACACTTTCAAATCTATTTTAAACTCTCTTTCATTGTGTCTCTTCCACCCAAGGCTCTCTGGCCTGAATCCCCCATTTCACCACAGTTCTTATACAATAGCTTTGATATCAACAATAGCTGCAATTAATTGTGTAAGTAAATAGCAAGCACTGTGCTTTGTGCTTGATAAACACTATTGTTTAATCTCATCAATCCTTTGAAATAGGCAAGTGTTACTATCTCTGTTTAATGGATGAAGAAATCAAGGCTCAGACAGGTAAAGTCACTTGTCCAAGATCTCACCACTTGTAGGTGGAGGGAGTATGAAATTTGAACCAAGGACTCTGTAACTCCAAAATCACCATCATTCCTGATGACGATACATTGTTTCACTGTTCCCTTGGATGATTTCTTGGGCCTTTAAAATACAAATCTGTTCAGGAGGCCATGTTCAGGTCAATGTTCTTCTGCCTTTCTAAGAGAAAGGAAATGCATTCCCAATATCACAACTGTGGGAATTAAGCATACTACTATTAAGTTATACAAGAAATACAAGCAGAACGTCCCTTAGAAGTGAGGATGGAGAGACTCTGGCTTGCTTAGTTTGGACATGTCATCAGGAAAGACCAATTGCTAGAAAAGGACATAATGTTTGGTAAAGTAGACGGCGAGCAAAAATGAGGGAAACCCTCAGTGAGATGGACCAACCAAATAGTCACAACAATGGACACAAATATAACAGTGATCATGAAGAATGGCACAGAACCAGGCAACTTTCATTCTGTTATACATAAGGTCACCATGAGTCAGAGCTGACTCAGGGCAACTAACAACAGCAGCTGAGAAATCCAAGAAGCAGGGTAGATGAGGACATTAAAGTGCCTGGGCTATGTATGCATCTCTTCTACAACATCCCCACCAAGTGGTCATATGGCTTATACTTAGATAGTCCTCCAAACCAAAGCCTCTTGCCATCGAGTCAATTCCAACTCATACCAACCCTATAGGGTTTTCAAGGCTGCAATCTTTACGGAAGCAGACTGCCACACCTTTCTTACGCAGAGCAACTGGTGGGTTCAAACTGCCGACCTTTTGGTTAATAGCCTAGCGCTTAACCACTGCGCCACCAGGGCTCCTTAGTTTTCCAGTGGTCAAGTAATTCATCCTCCTAGCTTTATTCATTTGACAACTAGTTATTCAGTACAGACTATGTCCCAGGCACTGAGCTAGGAGCAGGGAATAAGAGGAACAAGACAGGCATCTTGCTGATTAAACAGGGAAGAATACACATTAAACGACTAATTTTGAAAAGTGCTTCTACCAAGCACCCCAAGCAGAGGCTCCATAGATCAAGTCCACTTGGAGAGTTAAGATATTTTCAAGGAACCATCTAGAAAACATCTCACTTCCTTGATTTCTGGTCAATTCCCCACTAGAGAGTCTATTCTCTAATAATGTACATTATTCTGCAATAGGAACTGAAGCTCTGGATTTAAGACTGCTCAGGTTTAATTTTAGTTCCACCACTTACAAGCTGTATGACTGTTTCTTTAGATGTACTTCAAAGGACTGTTGTGACACTTAAACAGGTTCATATGTTGTCTTAGTCATCTAGTGCTGCTGTAACAGAAATACCACAAGTGGATGGCTTCAACAAAGAGAAATTTATTCTCTCACAGTCTAGTAGGCTACAAGTCCAAATTCAGGGCATCGGCTCAGGGGAGGGCTTTCTCTGGTCAGCTCTGGAGGAAGGTCCTTGTTATCAATCATCCCCTGGTCTAGGAGCTTCTCTATGCAGGAACCTCAGGTCCAAAGGACCTCTGCTTCTGGCACTGCTTTCTAGATGGTATGAGGTCCCCCTGTCTCTCTGCTCGCTTCTCTCTTTTATATCTCGAAAGAGATTGGCTTAAGCCACTATCTAATCTTGTAGATTTTATCAGTACAACTGCCACTAATCCATCTCATTACATCATAGTGATAGGATTTACAACACCTAGGAAAATCATATCAGATGACAACATGGTGGATAATTACACAATACTGGGAATCATGGCCGAGCCAAACTGATGCACATATTTTTGGGGGACACAATTCAATCCATGACATATGTGTAGTGTTTAAACAGTGTCTGCCATGGCATTTCATAAACGTCACCTCAATGAGCCCTACCTTACCACCCACTTTAAAGGTGAACACCTCCTAACTAGTAAAAAATGTCTGCCTTGAGCATTATGCTATCTATATGGGATCAAACTGATAACAGCAACTTCAAAGATCTCACAGGAACCTCAGGAGGCAGTGAATTTGTGTTAAGAGGGGGGAGGAACAATTCAGAAAAGGAGGGTGAGAACGGTTACACAACTTGAAGAACGTAATCAATGTCTCTAAGTGTTACATGTAGAAACTGCTGAATTGTTATGTTTTACTGTGTATATCCTCAACAACAAAATAAATAAAATTATGTATATACATATATATGTATAAAATAATAAAATCGTAGCTGGCACATAAAACAAAGCAAACAAAAAAAAAGTGAACACCCTCATGCCTGAGGCACTCATTAGCCTCCTTTTCTGCTGTTTTCTTTTTCACAGTACTTATCACTATTTGGAGCCCTGGTGGCGCAGTAGTTAAGAGCACTGACGCTAACCGAAAGGTCAGCAGTTTGAATCCACCAGCCACTCCTTGGAAACACTATGGGGCAGTTCTATTCTGTCCTATAAGGTCACTATGAGTTGGAATCAACTCCACGGAATGTTTTTTTTTTTAAAAAAAATCACCATTTAATATATTACTTATGTTACTTCTCTTGTTTATTGCCCATCCGTCTCTCTTACTGGAATATATATTCAAGATCCACGAGCATAGGAATCCTTATCTGTTTTACTATATTGTATTTTCAACTCCTAACAGTTGTTGAATTGAAACATTGGCAATTACAAGTACTATTACTGTTATTTGAATATAAGAGTGGCGTGCTCCTAGTGGACAGACACTGTTAAAAAAAACTAGGTTTTCACAAAACCGTAGCTAATGAGTATTGGATTAAGAAAAAAAAATCTTTTTGTATGAGAGACTAACTTGAATTGTAAACTTTCACTTAAAGTACAATTTTTTAAAAAATCACTTTTTAAACAACCATTGTTGTTGTTGCTAGTTGCTGTGGAAAGAACCATTAAGAAGTGTGAAAACTACTTCTAATCATTTCTATGACCCCAACATGGACCGTTAGAATGTTTTTAATCTACGGCAAAATAATTTCATTAGTTCTACGGTTAATCTACCTGCCATAGTACTGGCCTAAAAATTTTCCTTCTTTTAGCAGAATAATCCCAGTGATACTAAATACTGGCATCCACCTCTTAAGCCTAGGCCATCTGGAGATGGAAGATACTAGTTATTCAAGTTACCATCTAGCGGATTTTTAAGGAGGGAAATGAGGAAAAGCTATCCAAAACATCAAATACGGATGGCTTACCTCACCAGCTGAAGCAGTGGCTTCTTTCCCATGTATTAAATTTCCCTTAAAGAAACAATACCCTAACCATAAGTTCAGGATTTCCTCTATAGTGTGCAAAATTCCCGAAAGCATTGCTACTCAAAGTACAGCTCCCATCACCTGGGAGCTTGGTAGAAATGGAAATTTATAGGCCCTGTCAAAAGCACTAAATCGGAATCTCTGAGGGTGGGTCTCCAGAAGTTGTGTTTTAACAACTCTAGGTGAAGTTTGAGAAGTACCGCTCTATATAAACTCAATTAGAACCCCATGGATTGGAAATATATTCCAACTCATGCCAGGATAACTGGATGACAGTAGAACAGCACGTCAATGTTTTTTCCAATGTTCACAGATTTTCTTGTGCTAGTCTTGATACTCTCCACCCACCCTTCAGCCCTGTTCTTACCAGCTAGATTGTTGTAGCAGTCTCTCTGCGTGGTGTGCAGCACGTTTTCTTGCTCAGGTGTGAGAGCTGGGCCCTGAGGTCCTAGATTTGGTATCGGGGACGGCAGATCTGGGTCCAGACCCCGCAGCTGTAGCAGAGCTCGATGGTATCTACTCACTGCATCTCGGTACTTCCCTTCCCGGTACCGCTGGTTCCCTTCCTCCTTGTACAGCTGAGCCTCCTGCAGGCGCTTCTCCATAACTCTCTGTCGCCTAGTACTCTTGCGGAATGGGGAACTGAAAGAGCAACTGAAGCTGGGAGGATTGGAGCAAAATAATTGATCCTCGTAGCCAATTTAAGAAGGCAGGAAATGACCCTTCTCCGGGAGGCCGCCCCGGTAAGTGAGCTTTGCTTGTTTCTACCACAGCCCCTTCCTCTCCTCTCTACAATATTTTTCAATCTCCAGAAATGTAGGAACTAATTAGGAAAAGGATGTGAGAATAGAAAAGCTAAAGATTAAATGAATCATAAAGGGGCGATTCCGTTGTGAAGAGGTTCCTGAAAAAGCAAAGGCCCTAAAGAATTGTCGCACGCGTGCCTAGGCCGGCTGAATTTGCTTTCTCCTTTCTTTTGGACACACCCCCTGACCCGGAAGTGGAAGCAAGTAGGCTGGGCCGACTCTTACAAGAAATCTAGAGGGTTGGCCTCCATCCTAGCCCTTTATTTACACTTCTTCAGCAAGCATCTGTTGATGTCTGGTAGCGCAGTGGTTAACAGCTTTGCTGCTAACCGACAGGTCGAATCCACCACCCGCTCCTTGGAAACCCTATGGGGCAGTCCTACTCTGTCCGATAGGGTCGCTTTGACTCGGCATCGACTCCACGGCAACGGGTTTGGTTTTTCGGTTTTGGTGCTATGAGCTGCGGAACCGATGTGAATGACGCCCGTGCACCCTAACCCACAGCTCGCGACTAAGGCCGCCATATAAGCATGTCAGTTGCAAGTCCACCAAGCCCAGCCGCCAGTTCCTCGCCCTCTGCAAATGCGTAAGCCTGGAAGTCTACTGAACTGAGGTTTACGAGCGGAAGCACAGAGACGAAAAGGGCAAGTCTCCCGACAGTTTAGTATCTAAAGGGTCGCGCGCATTGCGTCTCGGCGCCCAATCAGAAGCCCCGGAAAAATAACCCGCAGAAACGACCCCGCCTCACCACGCTCCCAGGGGGACAAACCTGGGGGGGGGGGGGGAATCCCCTGACACCTCAGCCAATTGGAAAAATCCGAACGATCACAGAGGGCCAATCAGAGCTGCAGAAAGCTATTCAAGCTAGCCAATGAGAGAATCGAAAGGTGGGGTCGGGGGTCTGTTGCTGGGCAGAAGCAGAGGCCTTGAGGAAAGAGGAGCTCCAGGGGCTACTGTATTCCTTGGTTCTGGAGCGTTCTTTTGTGTACTAAGCAACAAAACAATTACTAGTAGGCTTTTATGTTGCAACAGCTTTCCCTATGACTTTTTTTTTAAACAAGTGGAGTTCGATATCTGTTCTTATTCTCCAAGAATCTGCTACATGCATAGTCACTAGGGAACAGAGACTACCTAGCAAACTCTTTAAGGGCCGCACAAGAAGTCGGACGCGGATGAGGGCAGCGAGAGAGTGGGAAGGGCATATGAGAAGGGTGCTCCGGCCGGCTGCGCAGAAACCTCGGCTAGAAGTACGGAAACACAGGCGTGCACACGCTTCCGTGCTACGAGGCACTTGAGCCGCAGCCAGCCTTTCCGTCTCAGCCTCCGGTGCGGCTGCGTGGTTAAACCACCAGCGGCGATTGGTCCAGTAGGTGAAAGGGGGCGGGAGGAAGAGGGATGGGAAATCCGGCGTCTTCCGCGCGCGCCCGCGGCAGGGGAACGGAGGGGTGCCGGACGGGAAGCAGCTCTCCACTGCGTTGTTAGAAGCTGCGTGGCCCCAAAGGGGGAGGAGAGAGGGAAGGAGAAACAAACACCAAATAGCTGAGGCTGCGCGCGGCTCTCGCTGCGTGCGTGCGTTCGCGCGTGCGCTCACTCGCGTGGGCTCAGTGCTGGCGCGTGAGGCGGAGGCGGGCGGCGGCGGCGGCGCCTGCGCAGTCGGGCTCGGTCGACGGTTCGGAGGGGAGGAGGCGGCGGGAGGCGGAGGAGGCGGCGGCGGCGATGGAGGTGAAGCGGCTGAAAGTGACCGAGCTACGATCGGAGCTGCAGCGGCGGGGCCTTGATTCGCGCGGCCTCAAGGTGGATCTGGCGCAGCGGCTGCAGGAGGCGCTGGACGCCGAGATGCTCGAGGACGAGGCCGGCGGTGTCGGGCCCGGGCCCGGTGGGGCCTGCAAGGCGGAGCCTCGGCCTGTAGCCGCGCCGGGCGGAGGCCCGGGCGGGGACGAGGAGGAGGACGAAGAGGAGGAGGACGAGGACGAGGACGAGGAGGCGCTGCTTGAGGACGAGGACGAAGAGCCACCCCCTGCCAAGGGCTCGGTCCAGGCCGTGCAGCCGCCGCCGGAGCCCCCGGAGGCGGCAGCCATAGAGGCTGCGGCCGAGCCTGATGCTTCCGAGCAGCCAGCAGAGGCCACGGCCGGGTCAGGTGGGGTAAATGGTGGCGAAGACCAAGGCACCGGCAAGGGGGAGGAAGACGAGCCCGAGGAGCGGAACGGGGACGAGACTCCGGGATCCGAGGCGCCGGGTGACAAGGCCGCAGAGGAACAGGGTGAGGAGCTGGCAGCGGAGCCCGGCTCCAGACTGCCGGGTGCGCCCCGATCCAGTACCCTGTCCTGCATCGTGGGGTTCTATCCCTCGTTCTTACTTGCCTGGAAGTGCAAGAGTCCCATTGCCATTTGTGGGATCCCCAGGGGAGGTGGTTTTCATCACCTGCCCACCTTTCTGAGCGGTTTGGCCGCCTCTGGTGGCCCTGCTGTCTGCAAGGGAAAGATTCTTGCTTAACTTGATTCTTTGGTGGTAGTGAATGGAAGTGAGTGGTTTGGCGTGCGAACTGCTCGTGAGCTACCTGTGGAGCAGTCTCCCGCGGTTCTGGTTATCTTTTCCAAAGACGTGAATACGCTGAGAAATTGGCGATCACAGAGCCAGCCAGACCGACAGCTGGAAACTTAGGTCTTTGGGCTACCTGACTGTTGACCTTTTCGCCATAAAAATATTAATCAATAAACTAAGTTCGTCAAAGTTCGCTCCATGGAAGGCACATTGCTAGAGGTTGAGCTACACACAAAGTCGGGAAATCCAAGCTTGCTCTTGTTTTAGCAGCAGGGTGCAGCCTCTAGTGTGAGGGTGTCGGGTTTAATAGTTAACTAGTGAAGAGAAAGTTTTAATCTCGTACATTTAGAATAAGTCAGTTAACGTTACCGGGCTGGAGCTTTTACTTGCTTGTATTCTTACCTTTAAATTTTAGTCTTCCCACTGAGTCGCTGGATGGGCGTATTTGTAGATTTGCTGTACACTTGTGCCAGCCTTTTACACTTCAAGTCCCTGATTTCTGAATTGAAATGACACTAAGGTGCTGGTGGGTCCGTTGGGGAACCTTGTGGAAGAGACTGTAGCGTCGCCCCAGGGAGTTAGTGACCTTTCTCTCTTCTGTTGAAGTGATTGGATAGTTAGAGCTGATCCATAACAGTATCTGTCAGAGTAGAGAGGCAAACTGGAGCTGCTTCCAAGTCTTACTGTAAAGTGGGTTGCTTTAGTTTTTTTGATTATACATTTTTTAGATTGCTGTTGATTTTCATGATACATTTGGAACCCACTCTGACAATCACACGCAGCTTGCAAATTGCTTATCCTATGTCTTGGAACAAAAATCGCATTACATAACTTTGTATTATTCCAAATAGCAGATAAGGAAGATGTTGAGGATAAAGGACTGCTTTAAAGAAATTATTAAAAAACCATCTTAGTGTTGCAAAATATAAAAGTCTAAGGAAAAATTCCAGGGTGTTTTCCTCTTGTAAAGAAAGTTGCTAAATATAGGACAACACCTTTCTACCCCAAATTATGTGCAGTAAGGGTGCAGTATTATTTATGGGGCTCTTGTGACTTAATGATTTGCTCTTGCAACTTTCAGTAAATATTTATGATAAAAATACAGCTTTATGTCATGCACCTGAGTCCATTCACTATAGAAGTAAAGCCATGGTTGTGCATTTTAAAGATGGAAAGACAAACTTTAAAAAAAAAAATTGAGTCTTCTGTATCATGAAGCTGTGTAAGTGATGGAAAATGTGTATTAGGTGCTAATCACTTAAATCCAAATCAGACAAGCAAGAATCAAAATTAAATTAACCTATAACGAGAAAAAAAACAAACTTGCTGCTGTCGAGTTGATTCCGACTCATAGCAACCCTATAGGACATAGTAGAACTACCTTATAGGGTTTCTGAAGTTGTAAATCTTCACAGAAGCAGACTGCAAATTAACCTATAAACGGTTTTTTTTAAGTCTTAGGGGGTATTTCTTTTTATGTTATATTGATAGGAAAATCTGCAGTTGTGATCTGATTTAAGCTGATAAATTTAGAATGCACAAATTGTCCAGTTCTTATCTATTGTTTAATTATAATTAGTCTGTAATGTTCAGTGTTTTTTTGCTTTGTTTTTGCTGTTTTCCTTTCTAATAAAATCCCAGCCAATGGCAGGAAGGTGATCTTTGGAAATAAAACATTTTGTGGATGTAGTGGGAATAACCTGGCTATTCTGACTAGACAGATACTCAGATCCCCCTTTAGTTTCTATTGGTCCGAGCTGATTCTACACTCTAGTATAAAAACTGCTGATTTTCTTTCCCTCCTTTTTGTAGGAGATGACCAAGATAGTGAAAAGTCAAAACCAGCAGGCTCAGATGGTGAGCGGCGGGGGGTAAAGAGACAGCGGGATGAGAAGGATGAACATGGCCGAGCTTACTATGAATTCCGAGAGGAGGCTTACCACAGCCGGTGAGGGAAACAGTCCCTTTCATTGAAGGGAGTGTCTGCTCTGATTTTGGTGTACCTGATGTTGATTGGAGAGTCTGGAAGGAGGGTGGATTTAAAAATGGAATAGGTTTTTATAGGTCTAAGTTTTAGATTGAATCTACCCTGGAAAGCTCCTGTTGAAAAAAGCTGTGTGCTGGGATTTTATATTTATTGATAGTTTAAAACAGCTATCCCTCAAAGAAGAGGGCTTTGGTTACATTGTATTTGCTTTTCTTTCATGTGTATAGCTCAAAGTCTCCACCACCCCCTGAAGAAGAGGCAAAAGAGGAGGAAGAGGATCAAACTCTTGTGAACCTGGACACGTGTATGTATAAAGCAGACAAATTTGGGGTTTTTAAAAACTAATCTTAGAGTGATTTTGGAGATTGTGACTTCATGGCCTGCAGCTGCTAAGAGATTTAGCATGTGGGATACTTTGTATCCATTTTTGGCAACTGTGTAACTGGGCCCTGTTGGTGGCTTTTAAGTGTTGGGTATTGTAGTAGACTGATAGCTTCTTTCTTAACAGATACCTCGGATCTCCATTTTCAAGTGAGCAAAGACCGCTATGGAGGGCAGCCACTTTTCTCAGAGAAGTTCCCCACCCTTTGGTCTGGGGCAAGGAGTACTTATGGAGTGACAAAAGGGAAAGTCTGCTTTGAGGCCAAGGTAGTATATACAGCTCATTGAGACCATTCATTTATTAATTTATCCATAAGTATTTTATTAGTGCAGAAAAAGATGCCAGGTTTTTGACAATAACTTTAGAAGCATTAGCCCAGAAATAGGTCCCCATGGCTTTGGTTTAAGTTCAGTGACAGTTGTTACTCTGCTGTTAAGTTGCGACATTTGTAGTTTTCAGTTACTACAGAAACATTGTCTTTCTGACTCAGACATTGCTCCTGAGTTGGGCAGAGTATCTGAGAATTCCTTTCTGACTTGGCCAGGTAACCCAGAATCTCCCAATGAAAGAAGGCTGCACAGAGGTTTCTCTCCTTCGAGTTGGGTGGTCTGTTGATTTTTCCCATCCACAGCTTGGTAAATTATTTCTTAAATTTCTTCATTAATGCTTGCTACCATACTACTTACTCTATGGAGAGTTTGGGTTTAGGTAACTAATTTGTCGACTATTCTAGGTGAGGATGAATTCTCTTATGGTTTCGATGGACGAGGACTTAAGGCAGAGAATGGACAGTTTGAGGAGTTTGGCCAGACTTTTGGGGAGAATGATGTCATTGGCTGCTTTGCTGTAAGTCCTTCTGAAAGTTGTGGGTTAATATCAAGGAATGGATAGAGGGCGCTGGGAATTCAGTCATGCTTCCCATCAACTGCTGACTTTTATGCACTTGATGCATTGCTTGTTTAGTTGTGTTGGACAGCAGCCTGAGTAAAAAAAGATTAAGTTTTAAGATGTAATCAACCTTAAATCCTGCAAGCCCATAAGTGCTCTTGTCCTTTGCTGTTGTAGAATTTTGAGACCGAAGAAGTAGAACTCTCCTTCTCCAAGAATGGAGAAGACCTTGGTGTGGCATTCCGGATCAACAAGGAATCTCTGGCTGACCGGGCCCTCCTACCCCATGTCCTCTGCAAAAATTGTGTTGTAGAATTAAACTTTGGTCAGAAGGAGGAGCCCTTCTTCCCACCATCAGAAGAGTTTGTGTTCATCCACGCTGTGCCTGTTGAGGAGCGGGTGCGCGCTGCAGTCCCTCCCAAGACCATAGATGAGTGTGAGGTATGCCAAACAATACTCAGGAATGTAGGGCTCACACTCTGCAGTGGTGGGTGGGTGTGCTCTCCCAGGTCTTTTCTTCTCAAAACTGAACTGGGGCAAGGAGGCTGTTCTTGAATTGGGCTTGATAAACATGGCCTTCACTTATTTTTCCTTGCATTCCGGATTCTGTTTACCTGCAGGTGATTCTGATGGTAGGACTACCTGGATCTGGAAAGACCCAGTGGGCACTAAAATACACAAAAGAAAACCCTGAGAAAAGATACAATGTTCTGGGAGCTGAGACTGTGCTCAGTCAAATGAGGGTGAGTCGCTGGGGGAGATGAGTCAGCTGTAGTATTTGCTCTGGAGGTACCAAGAAACTCATAACCTATCCCCAGTGGAGTTAGTCTTTGTGGTGTCTGAGAACAAGGGTTCCACAGATAGAGAAATGAGTCTTTTTTAAGTGTCTTTAAAGTGGATTTGGTTTTCTCTGCTGTGTTGTCCAGTTTCTGAAAGCAGATGAAAATCTGTAATATATCCAGATTAAGACTGGAGTAAGAATGAATCAATGTGATAGCTTTGGTGGCATTTAAGGAGGTGACATGTACCAGTGACTCTTGGGCTTTAACTTGCTGCGTAATTTATTGCTCTTCACTTTCTCTCAAACTCACCAGATGAAGGGCCCTGAAGAACCAGAGATGGACCCCAAAAGTCGAGACCTTTTAGTTCAGCAAGCCTCCCAGTGCCTTAGTAAGCTGGTCCAGATTGCTTCCCGGACAAAGAGGAACTTCATTCTTGATCAGGTATCTTTCAAACATTCAGAAGAAACCTGGTATTATAGGTGATCTGGAGATGAAAAATTTGACATACATTTAATCTGGTGAAATTGTCAAAGTGGAGTACGTATGTAGAGAGAGACTGAATTAAGGAATAGAGTCAGGTCACCTGATTATAACCAACTTGGTTGTATGTTATGGTTGTAATGTTTTTTTTTTTGTTTTTTTGACCAAGAGATACTTCTCATTAATGTTTTTGCCAAAGTGTACAGACCCAGACTAGAAAACAGATAATAGGGGCAGTGGAAAGAGTATTGGAGCTTGTTTGGATTCTTGTCTCCAGCACTTAGTAAATTTGTGGCCTTGGACAAGTCCCTTAACCTCTCTGAGCTTCAGCTTTCCTGACGTGCAAAATAGGATAATGCCTGTCGTGTAGGGTTTGAAGAATTAAAGGGGATTGTATATACAGTTCTCTAACCTGGTTATCTTGTTTATAAAAGATGCTCAAAAAGTGTTTTGGTTGAATTTGCATGGTAATTTTTATTCCTAAAATGTCTATTATTATTTCTGTCTCGAGTGTAATGTGTACAACTCTGGCCAACGGCGGAAGCTATTGCTGTTCAAGACCTTCTCTCGGAAAGTGGTGGTGGTTGTCCCTAACGAGGAGGATTGGAAGAAAAGGCTGGAGTTGAGAAAGGAAGTGGAGGGAGATGATGTGCCTGAGTCGATAATGCTAGAGATGAAAGGTGGGCTAAAACTCTACAAATTGTGGGTTCTATCCCTCGTCAGTGTACACCTGACTGGGCCTCTCAGCACCTGGAGTGATTCTCTACATCTTAAGTGTAAATCTGAAGAGCAACTTAATGGGAAGGAGCATTTGTAGAGAATGGAGAAGCAGTAGCTCCTCCACCCACGTTGGATAAGATACAAAAGGATAAGATAGATCTCTGGGAGAATTGAAACTCAAGCGAGAGAAGCTCATTGAGTCAGTTATTCAGTAAATGTTTACGCATTTTGTTTGTTTATGCTACTATTTGTTCAGCACTATCCTAGGCACGGGGGAGTAGCAAAAGCTCTGCTTTCATGGAATTTATATTCTAGAGGGGGGAGATTATTGTGGTTCAAATTGAAATGTGATTGGAATGAATGATCTCATTGGTTTATCTTGATTTCTGGTACCATGTTGGGCCTGTTTTTTGTTTTGGATTTAGTGTCTGGCTGAAATGTAAAATCTCTATGAGATACAAAGCCTTAGAGCAGGGTGCACAGGAGGCAGGATTAACCATCTTGGCGGACCTACCTTCCTGCTGTCTCCTAGAGAGTGACTTTCCCCTTGCTGCCTTTAGCGCTTGGCATCCCACCTGCGCTGTCATCTGCTGGCTCTTCGAATTCTGATATTTCCCAGGCGTGGGAGCTGGTTTACACATCTGTGAGCTGGATTCTCCAAGTTTACTCAGAATGAACTATGCCAGTCCATCACAGATATTCAGGCACTCTGAGTTCAGTTTTATAAAACTGAGAGCTAACTGATTCATCTAAGAATCACGAGAGCTGGTTAAACTAAATCCCACTGGGACCCAGCCTCTGAACTTGACGTGGAGAAACTGGCAATTTTACCAGCCCATCAAGTATGGGTGGTAAATGGGGCCCTTTGTATACGCTTGTTTTCACCTTGTGCAGATGAGTAGGTGCCTTCAGGCTTGAGTCAGTTTCTCACTGAGCCTCTTTTAAAAGTGCATTTCCTAGCATCTCAGTTAATTTTAGCCTCTGGCTGTCTGCCTCTCTCCTGATAAGAAACTCTAACCCAGGTCACTCTAATTTATTATGGATCACTTGAGAACTTGTAAATCTAGTTTGTAGAGAGCCCTTTGCCTGGGGCTGTTAAAATTGAGGGAAAACTTCTGATGGAGAAAGTTAAGTTGATTATATGGGAGTGGGTGTGAACCCAGCACAGTTTTGTGCAAAAGTACAAAATGCTTAGAGGCTTAGAAAATCTTATACTTCCCGGAATAGAATTTTCATAATGAGATCTTACCTATCTATGCACTTTTCAGGCCCACAAGCTTCTCTCTTACTCTTATAGCCAACTTCTCTCTGCCTGAAAAATGTGACTATGTGGATGAGGTGACATACGGAGAGCTGGAGAAGGACGAAGCTCAGCCCATTGTCACAAAGTACAAGGAGGAGGCGAGGAAGCTGCTGCCCCCCTCCGAGAAGCGGACAAACCGCCGAAACAATCGAAACAAGCGCAACCGGCAGAACCGAAGTCGAGGCCAAGGCTATGGTAAGTCCTGGGGACCTGCCAGCCCCCGTCCTCAGCCTGTTGTTTCTACTGAGTACAGCAGGACCTGTAGGAGAAGGCCAGGAAAACCAAGTTAAGTTACTAACAATGAGGAAGTGCCTTCTTTATGGAGCATATTTCTTCCTGTGTTCTTTACCCCCAAGCCTCCTGCTTTTTCAATAACTCGTAACGAAAGGCAGTACTTTCATATATTTGTTTCCTTGAGAAGTGATGTTTGAGCCTTCTCCTCTGTCTAGGTTTCATTTTTACATACGGCTTCCCCACTTCACTGTTTCAGTGTATCTGAAGAATTTGTGCAGTGAAGTTGAATGCTCATCTTAGGTTTTCTTGCTGCCTTGTCTATCAGATCAAAATCAATCGACTGTGTAATCAAACAGTGAATGCATTTTTCAGTTAATAGTCTTATTGTTTTAAAAAAACCTGAATGACTTTTTGGGTTACAAAGCAAGTTAGTTGCCACTAGTGGAACGAATTTTTCCCTCGAGCATCCCATTTGTTAGTTAAACTCTCAGTGTGTGTTCACTGTCCTTTAGAAATGTGTATGTGTGTGTTTAAGTCAGTAAAAATGTTGAGTGCCTACTATGTGCGAGGCAACTGCACTAGGTGCTGGGATTACAAACGCTGGCCCTCAAAGACCTTACTATCTAGAGTTTTGTTTCAGTTCTATAAAATGATGGGTATGGGTTATATGATACCTGAGATCCCTTCCAGGGCTGAAAGTCTGATTCTGTGAATGGCAGTTTTTACACGTTTCTAACTCTGCCATGTATCCTTTTGCCATCTTAAATGTTTTGCAGGAATTGGGGGGCTTCAAAAGCAAGGTGGCTTCGTTTTCTTGTGTCTCTATTCTCTGCCCTCCCCCCTCAGACTTTTTAAAAAGATCTCGGCTGGTGCTTTAATTACGTGAGCCTGATGGAAGCAGGCCCTCTATTCTCCCAGAATTGCCTTTGGCTCCAACTTTTTGATTTCCACTCAGATGTGGAGCCAGGACCCCATGCCAGCTGTCTGAGCGCGCTCTCCATTTCTCTTCCAGTGGGCGGGCAGCGCCGAGGCTACGACAACCGGGCCTACGGGCAGCAGTACTGGGGGCAGTCTGGAAACAGAGGGGTGAGTGCAGCTCTCCTTCTGCTCCTCCCTCTGGGCCGTGATAGCCATTCCAATTGGCTTGGGGGAGCAGAGTGGTTTGGGCTGTTTTCTAGGGCTTAGGGTTTTGCCCGTTTAATGTGTTCCTCTGAAAGAATTTATCCTGGGAAAATTAAACATGTTTACATTATCAAGCTAAGATACGTCTCCTTTAAGAGGGGGTCACAGTGGGGTATGATGCAGAAAACCCATAAATCTTTGCTCCTTGTCTTTCTCCTTTCTCAGGGTTACCGTAATTTCTATGATCGATACAGGGGGGACTATGATCGATTCTACGGGCGAGATTACGAGTACAACAGATACAGAGACTATTACAGACAATACAATCGGGACGTAAGTATCTTCTTGGGATAGGTAGAGGGTGAGGGGGCCGGACCAGAGAGATCAGTGTCGCCTCTCCATCCTTAGCCAGCTCTGGCTCGAAGTGATGGGGTTTCCCCTCTCTTCTAGTGGCAGAATTACTACTACCACCACCCCCAGGACAGAGACCGATACTACAGGAACTACTACGGTTACCAAGGGTATCGGTGAAGCCCCTGCCATTGTCGCCTGTCAGCCATGAAGCTGAATCTCTGGGGGTGCCAGGCACCCCCATAAACACAACCAAGGAAAACAGGGGCCGTCGGGGTGGGGCTGAGCTGCCGGGGAGGG